CTCATTTATTTCGAGAAAGACTAATCCGGGAATTCATCCATTACGTCACATTTCTGTGATGGCTGGGTTTCGGACTGCAGCATGCAGATTATTGGTTTCATGAAATCCAATAAATGACGCAAATTCGACATTAGTCGCAATTCATGTATGAAAGAACAAAAAATGAAACGATAACCTCCTGAGAATAATTAAATGCCATGAAAAAAGAAGAAAAGCTGTCCATGGAAATACTTCCAATAGCTGAAGTTTTTTAATTTATTTGTTTGAATTACTCAATGACATGTGAAACTAAGGAGTTTTGGAGAATAGATTTCAAATGAAAGCATCCGGATGGGAAAGTTGTTATTGCATGTTCGTAGTTACTGAACAGGAAGCACTTATTACTCAGGTATAGTAATTCTATTTACGTAGCTACCATTTAAGCTTTTATAATTATTAAAACTTATGCATTCAACTTCTTGGTATATAAATTAGAGGGTCTTTGTAATATTAAATAAACATCCTCTCGTCCACTAAGAGATTTTATTGTCACATCTGCGCAAACTTCGTGAGAAAATGGCCATGTTCAGTAGGGTGCTTTTGTATTCATAAAAGTAGTGTGATAACTTTCTGTTTGACTATAGTCAAACAGAAAGTTGTAATAAATAGTGGAATGTGTTTTCCGGAAGGGTAGCATTAGTTTCGGGGCGCACTGGAAAGAGTGAGAGAGTTACCCGTGCAAAAATGTAATAAACGGGAAAAGTTGGAAATGTGGGACTAAGTGTCCCAATCTTCCCACACCTCAGGTAAAATCATGCATGATTTTACACATGGGAGGTCAAAGTTAATAAATTTGCCACTTAATGAGTCAAGTCAACAGTCACTGCATGTTCTGTCTCTAGTTTCATGCATCTGTCGAAAGCTGCTTAAGTAGTGATACACCAGCTGTAGTTGGGGAACAGTTTTAAATGATGTGGTTTATCAGCAGTTCAAGTCACAACACTAGCAGTACATGTAAAGCATATGCATATTCATCAAATACACAATAAGCGGAAGTGTGCGGAAGATTAATAAAAATTTGCATTATCTAAAGTATCATGAACGGGTACTATGGTACTGTGGTATCGCGACCACTGCAGTAATAACAACAAAAGGATAATATTACCCATTAATACAGGAGAATTAATTAAATTTTCATCGTTTTTCAAAAGTGTGCGGCGTCATAGCCCTCTCTTGTTCAGTCATCAAGTCTCGTTAATTTCTGATCAAGCAGATGGTCGTCATTGTTATCAATTTAAAATCTGATCGTATCAGACCACAGAAAAATGGTAACATTCCTGTGATTTCAAACGATTGCACAAAGTTAAATGTTGGAGAGATTTCCTATTTAATATGTATTTTACTTTTCTCTGAGAGGACGGGGCTAATTCTGTTATAAACAGTTGTAGGAAATGAAAAATGTAGAATTTTCATCCTGTTAATCTTCATTTGCTTCATCACTTTTATTGAAGTGTAAATTGGGAATCGATTACTTTCTGCATAGCTTTAATATTAGATCTAAAAACCGTAAAAACACTGATAACAGAAAGCAGTAGACAGTTGCTTTATTTCAATTTCAGCAATGCGTGGCCACGGTGTGCCAGAATCAGAAAAGCAAGACAAGCTTTCATTACTCTCAAATCTGTGTGGAGGTCAACATCACTCAGAATCAAAAATAAGATCCGGATTTTCAACTCCAATGTAAAGTCAGTGCAACTATACGGATCAGAGACTTGGCGAGTCATAAGGAGCATCTCGAACAAACTTCATACCTTCATCAACAGTTGTCTTCGCTCAATACTCAAGATCAGATGGCCAGAAAAGATCAACAAAAAAGACCTCTGGGAGCTAACCAACCAGGAACCGATTGTGAAACAAATAGGCAGGAAGAAATGGAGATAGATTCGCCATACTCTGAGGAAACCATCAAGCGACATCACTAGACAAGCCATCGCTCGAGTGTAACCCGAAAGGGAAACGGCGAGTTGGTCGTCCAGGGTGACTTGGAGGAGGTCATGCGAGGAGGAGATGAAAGCATGTGGGCAGACTTGGAGCGGAGTGAAAAAGTTAGCAGAAAACCGAAGGCAATGGAGGTGCGCAGCTGAAGCCCTATGTTCCTCTAGGAACTAAAGGATATAATAATAATAATAATAATAATGCGTGGCCACAGTTTGATGACCTGCTTAAATCAAGGAATGTCGTATTCTATGACAAGTGTATACAACTTGAGAAAAATTATTTTTAAGCAGCCCAGTGACCAACTGATAAGAAAAATATCTGCTGACAGTAAAAGCGGCACTCAAAAACAGCACTCACTTGTAATTATCCTACGGCTTTTAAGAGTTTTTACACTTCTGAATTTTTCGTATATCAGAAAATCCGGTTATCCGAAAATTCTTCGAAATGTCCCATGAATTTGATTCAATAGATCTTTTCTTATCTTTTGACATAGAGTCCAAGAATTCACTATCTATTTTTAAGCTACGTCTGGTTTTAGTTAATTATTCATCCATAAAATCTTATTCTTGCTGAAACACATTCTGAATAAGTTTTTTCGAACACATTTTTGGTCTAAATTACGTCTCATAAAATTTTATAGTGTTTTCGAACCGTTAGCTTTAGATCTGAAAATTATGCGTTATCTAATGAAGCACCAGAAAACTGGCCTGTTTTCAATTCAAAGAAATTTAATGATAGAGTACTTCATAAGTACTCTTTAAAATTTGTATTTGTAATTAGTACAAGATGCGAAAAATTGACCAGCGGATCCATAATTAGAAGCACTGAAGAGAAAACTATTCATCTTTTATTTAAAGGTTTATGTAGTCTGGTCAATAAGTCACATCTGCTCTCCATCAAGAATTTTCAAAGAACTTTAAGTAAGATGACTCGGCTCTATAGTTCTCTTTAGATTTTCCACTTTTACAGAGTGGACCAAATAACCGGAAGTGCCTTCTTGAAATGAAATGTTGAATAATAGGAGAAAAAATGACGAAATAAGCCAATAAAAATACATGTTTGGCATGCGATTCGCTCCAACCAAATGCAAGATGATGTTACAGGACTGGACTACATCGACACCTAGTTTAAAAATAGGAAGTGAAGTGGTAGAGCACGTTGACCGCTTCACTTATTTGGGAAGTACCATCAGCCCCAACAGGCTGATCTCTGACGAAATCTCAGCACGAATACAGGGGGCTCGTTTCGCATTTGCCAGTTTACGCCGACTCTGGTGTAGACGAGATGTTCGACTATCGACCAAAGGGCGGGTGTACTGCTCATTAGTCCGCTCCGTCCTCCTTTATGGCTGTGAGACCTGGCCACTCAGAGTGGAGGACATGAAAAGACTAGCTGTCTTTGATCATAGGTGCCTGCGCTCTATCTCCCGTGTAAAGTGGCATAATAAGGTGAGCAACATGGAGGTTAGGCGTCGAGTTCTAGGTAAACAGGGAAAATCAATCGACGAAGTTGTGAAGCTACATCGACTGAGATGGTTAGGACATGTGTTACGTATGCCAAGTCATCGCCTCCCTCGACGAGCTATGTTAGCGGATGTAGGGTCAGGCTGGAAAAAAGCTAGTGGCGGTCAAACAAAAACCTGGCACCAGTCAATGAAATCCACAACAGTTGGTCTAAGCCACGTAGGAAGATGTAGACTTCCAGGCTGGGGTCCTCGGGACGGTAAAAATCTATGGTTGGAAACAATTGGTGACATGGCTCAAAATCGTTCTCAGTGGCGCAGATGCATCCACTCCTTGTGAATTATGATCTCCAATGAAACTGTTTTGTTTTTCTTTATTACTCCTTTGTCTCACACCTCTGCTCACTGTTTCTGTTATGCTTTTCTTGTACTTTCTTCTCTTGCTTCGCGTGCTACACGGAGTGTGGTGACTTAAACTTCCGCACATTTGTGCAAAGTTCTATGTCGTAAACAGACAGACAATAAAAATACATAGTGTCGTTGAGCTAAGAAAGCGAGTAAAACTTACCTCACTCAGCTTACATAATATCTCTTCGTTCGAGGGAAATTTTACTCCTTTTACTTTAAGTGAAGAATATGTTATCTAATCCAAAGACCTGTTTTGTGTATCTTCCTTTGGTTACCCCAACGGTGTGACATAAAGTCACGTATCTTGATGCTTTTCGTTTCGCTGTACAAAAAATTTGGACACACTACAGATACACCACTGATTATCTGTTTCATTTAAGTTTAAAGCTCTTAACTAGGGGACACTGTTAAACTACACGGAGATGATGATTTATTCCGATTTGGCGGTCTCCACCAATCATTTTTAATGTAATCTACACCTAGGGGCTGAATGGTTAGTCGTCCGTCATCTAATCCATATCTCTTAAGATGTTCGATTTACTCTTTTTCTGTTACATGGGGCGTGAAGCAAGATAATAACTGAAACAGCGTTTGCATTTTAAAGTGAATTATAGAAAAATGAAAAAAGATTAATGAAAGATTGCAACACATCCACAGTGGTTCAACACAACTGTCGACATCAGAAAATATACTTCTGAATACAAAAATTGACCATCCAAGTCGTAGTTCACCCAAATTCTGTTCGTTTTAGTGACTTATTAAGATGCCTTATACTACCACTTGCGGAATTTCTATCAGTAAACGTGAGAATAAAAAAGTTCAGTAAATGAAATGATCATAGGCAGGAAGTTCGGTTTAAACATAACCAAAATTAAAAGTTGTCATTATGAGTTAATAGTCATCACAAATATAATAAAATAATTTCGGACAACAACCGGATTCACGCTAACATAAATAGCTTCAAATTTGCTTTGCAATCCCTCCAAAATGAGGTCCTGGATTTTATCCTAAAAAGCTTCTAAAGTATGTCAGCGATCTGTTTCGTCCTACTGTTCAAATCACTTTTCATTATAACCTTGATATTTAATCTCTTCTAGCAATTTGTAATTAACTTACTTTTGCCTTATTCTAGAGTCTACAATAATTTGAATAAATGAGTCGATTATATGATACTGTGGAGCCAACAGTGATTGATAAACAGCTGCTACACGATGCTGTATTCGCATTACTTAGGAAAGGTGATGTAGGTGAACTAGCAAAACAGGATGGAATTAATTTTGAGAATGTTTTACACCTTCGACTGGATTATAAAAGTAAGCAAAAGCCATTTTATAAGAAATTCTCACTCAAAAATCTGTATGTTTAGATATTTTAAAGATTGATAATTTATGGTCATTCAAATTATTAGTAAAATTACAACTTGATAACAATATCATTGAACGCATTGAAGGTATTGATCATTTATCACATCTTCGCTGGCTTGGTAAAATAAATTCATTTATTATGAGGAAAACATGTTTTTGTATCCTAGACTTGTCATTCAATAATATTGAAAAAATTGAAGGTCTACAAAATCTAGTAAATTTAGAAGACTTAACATTATACAACAATCGAATAACTTCATTAGAAAATATGGAAAGTTTAAAAAAATTGCAAGTATTCTCAGTTGGTAATAACAATATCACTGAATTAACAAATGTAAGTAGCAATTTTACGAAATTTCATTTTGTCAAAAGTATTCGCACCCCACTAAATTTCGCAACAGAAAAATGTTCCTACATCATTTTAGATTGCATATTTCACACCTGAAAAGCTCATAGAATTTCAGCTTACACCGTGTCGAGGATTCACCTAGAGCTGAAAATGAGTAAAACATATAGTTATGAAGAACCAAAACACGATACCATTTGATAATGATTATTAATTTTCGAAAGACACTTTGGAAAAATATAAATTCTCCTTAATTACTAGGTAGTTGGACAAAAATCGGTAGGTTGTAGATAGGCCTTGCTGAATTGCCCCAGAAAGTATGAAACGTAGGCTTTCTGCTAATTGCCTCCAACAGTCTAATAACAACATTTTAGAGTCCACCGTGATGGTGAGCCACGTAGCATGGTAGTTGAATTTTAAGCTTGACTGATAAGAATTCAGTCTGCACGAAACAAAGAACTTGACACACGATACTAGTTACTTGCCATCTAGCGTTCAACCAAAATCTTATTCGGCTAAAATTCGTGGTCGTTTAGGATTTTAGTTGGACGGATACACACTAACTGCGATTATGGTTTTAAAGAATGAGGTACTTGCAAATTATGCAGCTTGGTAGAAAGACTAAACAACACCAAAAAGAGATATGGATTTGGAATGAAGAGCTAAGAAAAATTAAAAGAGGATATAACGCACAAAAGAAAATAAATAATTTATGGGATAATAAATAAAGACTGGATTCTTCGAATTAGTATTAGCTGAAAAGATTCCGAAGAAACGAAATAGCAACGATGAAAATTTATGCACCACTGCAAGCGACCAAACTAGAAAACAGAAAAAGAGAGGACTGATGGCAAATCTACGTCTACTCCAATAATGATGTTGTTGTTATCATTCATATAACACTTGACTACAGAAATCTACATAGCTGAGAAATATAAAATGCATTAATTAAATCGAATGATTTTCATAAAGCATTTAGAAAGGAACTGCTCAGTTATGAGAGCTTTATATTAGGTGGTATAAATCCATATAAATAAAAAAATCATGAATACATCACACTGTATACTACTGATTGTCTGTTATCACTAGTTCAGTATCGTCCATACCAACTAGCAATGCTTGCTAGCCAGGATTCGGCTGACTTGAACTTATGTGGCTGTCAAAGTTGAGTCAAACAGGATGCACCACCGGTAACCTCAGCCTCGAATGAACGAAACAGCAATTCACTGTTTAAATCGTTTCAATTTAGCTTTAAGCATCACTGGTCAATGCGAGCGTAGCCAGCTACTCACATCATTATATCAGTAGTCTGTGTCATCGTGTGTTTATACTTGGTCCTTTGGATTTCAATTACGGCGTCAAGCACATCATATATTGAGGTCTGAATAGTTTCTGTTTCAAAAGAAACTGTGGTGGAATTTCACGTCGAACAGTTTTTTTTCTCGAGTCCCTTGTAAACTTGCAAATATGATAGAGAAGATTTGTAGCTCAGGTGGATAATTTTGATGTGGTTTTGTTCTCTGAGCTGGATAGTTAGTTTGCGAAGCTTTCATCACCTTACTGGGTGACATCTTCAGCGCATACTTCAAATTGAAGTGAGCTTTTAGGTTTCTCCACGAGTTTATTAATCATTCCTCCTGGTGACCTTGGACGTGATTGGTTGTTTATGTATGTTTTCACACCTTCTAGGTTACTTGTGTTGGAACTGATTGTTTCTGTGACTTGAACTTTGGCCAATCGTGTGTGAAGTTTCTTTCTTATTGGTTGATAAATTTTGTCTATCTCGATGTGTCTATTGATTGATGATTCACTGGAATGCCAAGCTTCTAAAAATTCTCTAGCATTCTTGTTATTTCCTTTGTCTAATATTTGAACGTTGTCCCAGTCGAATTGATGTCCGTGGTTGTCTGTGTGTAGTGAAATGAGGGAGTGTATATCATGTCTTTTGACGGCTAGCTTATGTTCGTGGATACGAAGACGAAGGGGACGTCCACTTTGGCCAATGTAGTGTTTTTCACAGTTGTTACAGTTTATTTTGTAGATGATGTTGGTTTTGTCTTCTTTTGCTGTTGAGTCTTTTGGTTGACATAGAATTGAGTGCAGCGACTTTGTTGGTTTGTGTACGACGTCAATTCCTAAAGGTTTGAAGAGTCTTTTAGTGATTTCTGAGATATCCTTTATATATGGTAAGGCGATTTTCTTTGTGTTTTCCTTGGTGGCTTTTGTTTTGGTAGGTTGGCTTGGGGGTATATGTCTCTTGATGAAATTCCGGGGATATCCATTCTTTTGGAAGACGTCCATGAGATACTTTTCTTCAATTTTTCTTAAGGTGGGAGTGCTGCAGTGAGTCCTTGCTCTCTTGAATAGTGTTTGTATGCAGTTCCTTTTGTGTGCTATTGGGTTGTTGCTGTTGTAATTCAGTATTTGGTCTGTGTGAGTTGATTTCCTATAAACTTGAGTTTCTAATTCTCCTGTAGTTGTTCGCCTGACTAAGACGTCCAAAAATGGTATTTTGTTCTCGGATTCCTCTTCTCTTGTGAATTTGATGTCGTTGAAGACGTTGTTTATTAAGTTGTGAGTTTTGTCTAATTCGTTTCTTTTGATTATTACAAATGTGTCGTCGACGTAGCGTATCCAAATCTTGGGTTTGATCTTTGGTAGAATTATGTTTTCGAGTCTTTGCATCACTGCTTCTGCAATCAAACCTGATATTGGCGATCCCATGGGTGTTCCTTTGACTTGTTCATATATTTGGCCGTTGAATTGGAAGTATGTTGTTAGGCATAGATTTATGCATTCCATCCAGCTTGTGTGTTGCATTTTTGATTGTTGTGGAAGTTGTTCGTCGTTGCTAAGTAATTGCTCCATGGTTTCTTTTGCTAGTTTTTGTCCGATAGAGGTATATAATGCTGTCACGTCGAAGGATACCATTATTTCTTGTTCATCTATTTGGATGTCTCTGATTTTCTCTAGGAATTGGATAGCAGAGTTGATGGAGTGATCACAGGATTCCGTTAGGTGTTTTAGTTTTCTGTATAATTCCTTGGACAAATTATATGTTGGAGTTCCTGGGAGTGATACAATTGGTCGTAACGGGATATTTGCCTTGTGTATTTTGGGTCTGCCGTAGAATCGAGGTAGGACTGGTCCATTGGATTTCATTCGCCATTGGTCTTGTTTTGTGATCTGTCCAGTTTTGCTGAGCTTGTTTAAGGTCCTTTGGATGCGGTTGTCCAATGTTTGTATGGGATTTGTTGGGAGTTGTTGATATACATCTTCATCTTTGAGTAGTTCTTCAGCTTTCTTGGTGTATTCTTCTCTGTCCATGACTACTGTTGTTCTTCCTTTGTCGGCTGGTAAAATGACGATGTCCTTCCTATTTTTCAGCTTTTTGAGGGCCTTTAGTTCTTGAGAGTTGAGTTGTGTGTGTTGTCTTTTCTGTTTGACCATTGGTACAATTGTTTGGCGTATCTCTTCCTGTGTTTCCTCGTTCAAGTTTGATGATTTGAGTAATGATTCAAGGGCAGCGAAGAAATCAGTTTTTGAAGCATCTCCGGTGTTGTAGTTTAATCCTTTTTGTAGTAGTTGTTGTTCCATTTTTGATAGTGGTTGTTTTGATAGGTTGACTACGCAGTCTATGGGCGTATTGTCTGGTTGTTGTTTTCTAATCTTGGCTAGCTTGGTTTTGAGGACTCTTCGTCTTTGTTCTCTGTGTTTTCCACTTGACAGTGAAATTGCGGTGATCAGCGTTGACAGGTGTTCTTGGTTGAGGGTTTTCTCTAATTTTGCTTTTTGGACATCTATTATTTGTTGATATTTGTTGATCCGATAATGTGCGTCCGTAATCATTAATTTGACCATTCGTCTTCCACATTGTTCGGCCAATTTCCATCCCATTGGGCAGTTGACTGGTGGCTTGTATCTTACACTGTTTGGTAGGATTGAATGACGAAGGCACTCATGGAGAAAGAATAATTGTTCTCTGGTGGATCCTTGCCTTTTGGCGAAGTCTTCCCACTTTCGAACAGAGAGAAGCGTATCCCGCTCACAAAACAAGACCAATGGCGAATGAAATCCAATGGACCAGTCCTACCTCGATTCTACGGCAGACCCAAAATACACAAGGCAAATATCCCGTTACGACCAATTGTATCACTCCCAGGAACTCCAACATATAATTTGTCCAAGGAATTATACAGAAAACTAAAACACCTAACGGAATCCTGTGATCACTCCATCAACTCTGCTATCCAATTCCTAGAGAAAATCAGAGACATCCAAATAGATGAACAAGAAATAATGGTATCCTTCGACGTGACAGCATTATATACCTCTATCGGACAAAAACTAGCAAAAGAAACCATGGAGCAATTACTTAGCAACGACGAACAACTTCCACAACAATCAAAAATGCAACACACAAGCTGGATGGAATGCATAAATCTATGCCTAACAACATACTTCCAATTCAACGGCCAAATATATGAACAAGTCAAAGGAACACCCATGGGATCGCCAATATCAGGTTTGATTGCAGAAGCAGTGATGCAAAGACTCGAAAACATAATTCTACCAAAGATCAAACCCAAGATTTGGATACGCTACGTCGACGACACATTTGTAATAATCAAAAGAAACGAATTAGACAAAACTCACAACTTAATAAACAACGTCTTCAACGACATCAAATTCACAAGAGAAGAGGAATCCGAGAACAAAATACCATTTTTGGACGTCTTAGTCAGGCGAACAACTACAGGAGAATTAGAAACTCAAGTTTATAGGAAATCAACTCACACAGACCAAATACTGAATTACAACAGCAACAACCCAATAGCACACAAAAGGAACTGCATACAAACACTATTCAAGAGAGCAAGGACTCACTGCAGCACTCCCACCTTAAGAAAAATTGAAGAAAAGTATCTCATGGACGTCTTCCAAAAGAATGGATATCCCCGGAATTTCATCAAGAGACATATACCCCCAAGCCAACCTACCAAAACAAAAGCCACCAAGGAAAACACAAAGAAAATCGCCTTACCATATATAAAGGATATCTCAGAAATCACTAAAAGACTCTTCAAACCTTTAGGAATTGACGTCGTACACAAACCAACAAAGTCGCTGCACTCAATTCTATGTCAACCAAAAGACTCAACAGCAAAAGAAGACAAAACCAACATCATCTACAAAATAAACTGTAACAACTGTGAAAAACACTACATTGGCCAAAGTGGACGTCCCCTTCGTCTTCGTATCCACGAACATAAGCTAGCCGTCAAAAGACATGATATACACTCCCTCATTTCACTACACACAGACAACCACGGACATCAATTCGACTGGGACAACGTTCAAATATTAGACAAAGGAAATAACAAGAATGCTAGAGAATTTTTAGAAGCTTGGCATTCCAGTGAATCATCAATCAATAGACACATCGAGATAGACAAAATTTATCAACCAATAAGAAAGAAACTTCACACACGATTGGCCAAAGTTCAAGTCACAGAAACAATCAGTTCCAACACAAGTAACCTAGAAGGTGTGAAAACATACATAAACAACCAATCACGTCCAAGGTCACCAGGAGGAATGATTAATAAACTCGTGGAGAAACCTAAAAGCTCACTTCAATTTGAAGTATGCGCTGAAGATGTCACCCAGTAAGGTGATGAAAGCTTCGCAAACTAACTATCCAGCTCAGAGAACAAAACCACATCAAAATTATCCACCTGAGCTACAAATCTTCTCTATCATATCTAAATCTTACGAGCGGGATACGCTTCTCTCTGTTCGAAAGTGGGAAGACTTCGCCAAAAGGCAAGGATCCACCAGAGAACAATTATTCTTTCTCCATGAGTGCCTTCGTCATTCAATCCTACCAAACAGTGTAAGATACAAGCCACCAGTCAACTGCCCAATGGGATGGAAATTGGCCGAACAATGTGGAAGACGAATGGTCAAATTAATGATTACGGACGCACATTATCGGATCAACAAATATCAACAAATAATAGATGTCCAAAAAGCAAAATTAGAGAAAACCCTCAACCAAGAACACCTGTCAACGCTGATCACCGCAATTTCACTGTCAAGTGGAAAACACAGAGAACAAAGACGAAGAGTCCTCAAAACCAAGCTAGCCAAGATTAGAAAACAACAACCAGACAATACGCCCATAGACTGCGTAGTCAACCTATCAAAACAACCACTATCAAAAATGGAACAACAACTACTACAAAAAGGATTAAACTACAACACCGGAGATGCTTCAAAAACTGATTTCTTCGCTGCCCTTGAATCATTACTCAAATCATCAAACTTGAACGAGGAAACACAGGAAGAGATACGCCAAACAATTGTACCAATGGTCAAACAGAAAAGACAACACACACAACTCAACTCTCAAGAACTAAAGGCCCTCAAAAAGCTGAAAAATAGGAAGGACATCGTCATTTTACCAGCCGACAAAGGAAGAACAACAGTAGTCATGGACAGAGAAGAATACACCAAGAAAGCTGAAGAACTACTCAAAGATGAAGATGTATATCAACAACTCCCAACAAATCCCATACAAACATTGGACAACCGCATCCAAAGGACCTTAAACAAGCTCAGCAAAACTGGACAGATCACAAAACAAGACCAATGGCGAATGAAATCCAATGGACCAGTCCTACCTCGATTCTACGGCAGACCCAAAATACACAAGGCAAATATCCCGTTACGACCAATTGTATCACTCCCAGGAACTCCAACATATAATTTGTCCAAGGAATTATACAGAAAACTAAAACACCTAACGGAATCCTGTGATCACTCCATCAACTCTGCTATCCAATTCCTAGAGAAAATCAGAGACATCCAAATAGATGAACAAGAAATAATGGTATCCTTCGACGTGACAGCATTATATACCTCTATCGGACAAAAACTAGCAAAAGAAACCATGGAGCAATTACTTAGCAACGACGAACAACTTCCACAACAATCAAAAATGCAACACACAAGCTGGATGGAATGCATAAATCTATGCCTAACAACATACTTCCAATTCAACGGCCAAATATATGAACAAGTCAAAGGAACACCCATGGGATCGCCAATATCAGGTTTGATTGCAGAAGCAGTGATGCAAAGACTCGAAAACATAATTCTACCAAAGATCAAACCCAAGATTTGGATACGCTACGTCGACGACACATTTGTAATAATCAAAAGAAACGAATTAGACAAAACTCACAACTTAATAAACAACGTCTTCAACGACATCAAATTCACAAGAGAAGAGGAATCCGAGAACAAAATACCATTTTTGGACGTCTTAGTCAGGCGAACAACTACAGGAGAATTAGAAACTCAAGTTTATAGGAAATCAACTCACACAGACCAAATACTGAATTACAACAGCAACAACCCAATAGCACACAAAAGGAACTGCATACAAACACTATTCAAGAGAGCAAGGACTCACTGCAGCACTCCCACCTTAAGAAAAATTGAAGAAAAGTATCTCATGGACGTCTTCCAAAAGAATGGATATCCCCGGAATTTCATCAAGAGACATATACCCCCAAGCCAACCTACCAAAACAAAAGCCACCAAGGAAAACACAAAGAAAATCGCCTTACCATATATAAAGGATATCTCAGAAATCACTAAAAGACTCTTCAAACCTTTAGGAATTGACGTCGTACACAAACCAACAAAGTCGCTGCACTCAATTCTATGTCAACCAAAAGACTCAACAGCAAAAGAAGACAAAACCAACATCATCTACAAAATAAACTGTAACAACTGTGAAAAACACTACATTGGCCAAAGTGGACGTCCCCTTCGTCTTCGTATCCACGAACATAAGCTAGCCGTCAAAAGACATGATATACACTCCCTCATTTCACTACACACAGACAACCACGGACATCAATTCGACTGGGACAACGTTCAAATATTAGACAAAGGAAATAACAAGAATGCTAGAGAATTTTTAGAAGCTTGGCATTCCAGTGAATCATCAATCAATAGACACATCGAGATAGACAAAATTTATCAACCAATAAGAAAGAAACTTCACACACGATTGGCCAAAGTTCAAGTCACAGAAACAATCAGTTCCAACACAAGTAACCTAGAAGGTGTGAAAACATACATAAACAACCAATCACGTCCAAGGTCACCAGGAGGAATGATTAATAAACTCGTGGAGAAACCTAAAAGCTCACTTCAATTTGAAGTATGCGCTGAAGATGTCACCCAGTAAGGTGATGAAAGCTTCGCAAACTAACTATCCAGCTCAGAGAACAAAACCACATCAAAACTTGCAAATTGCGAGTTTGAATTAGAAAGACATGAAAACATTAAAGTTTTGACTAATTTCCAGATGGCACTGAAAAATATAACCAAATCATTTGAATATGTTTAAGCAAAAAGACTGACGGCTGAGACGAAGAAATCGTTAATTTGCTAAGGTGATAATTGATTTAAGTATAAAACTTGGGCACTGTGGTTAAGTATAATTCCATTATGGATAAGATTTTATTTTGATAAATCACACAGTGTTATACAGTAACATTAACTGATGACGTTTCGAGGACAAACTATTGCTCATAATCATATGATGTGATATGGTTATGAGCAATAGTTTGTCCTCGAAATGTCATCAGTTAATATTACTGTATAACACTGATTACTGACTGCCTGAGGAATACATAACCACCATTTGAGAAGTAGTATATTCAAAAAAGAAAAATAAAGCTCATATATTAGAGAATGTCTTCAAAATAGAACGAACTTATTCCGCTGTACCATAACGCTGTTTTGTGTGCTCTATTAACCAGATAAAATATCTCAGACAATTTCAAAACCTACAGTCTCTGTGTCTACGTGGTAATCCTGCAAGTGAACTTAAAGAATATAAGTTGTATACACATGCTATGCTACCTAATCTGCTCTATCTGGATTACGAAAGAACTAACGAGAGTCTAGTAAGTTGATATTCTTTCATTTTACTTTCTACCTCTGTATCAAATGTGTTTTTCGCTCATTCTCTTCCTAACTTTTTGTTACATATGTTCTTACAGAAAAATGAAGCATACGAAAAATATCAATTAGAAGTAGATGAACTTGTTAGTGAAGAAGAAGCCAAACTGAAATTGGAAAACGAGAATGCTGAATATGAGGCTAAACGACAATTACACAGACAAGCTTTTGTCGAAGGAATGGACGATGATAATATTTTTCATCAGTTATTTATTGATGATCCAGATGGAAGAGAACTTTTGGCATTACCTGAATTATATAACAGTATTGAATTATATCCTTTTTGCATGTATATAAATGCGTCAGTAATTCAGTGGTAGAAAGCTTGCCAACCACACTGTTGTCAGGGGTCTGATTCCCAGCCAACGCACCACCAATCCTTGTTAAACCGATAGTAAGCCCGGTGGGAGAGGGTAGGCTGGGTGTGGGACTAACACCCCGTCCCCGTAAAAATAAAACCACTGCTACTGAAACTTAAAACCTCTTACCTGAAGCTGTATGTTCGATTCAGAAAGTTAGTGAATAATATATATATATATATTCATCCTGTCCATACAGTTCGTTTGTAGGTATTTTAAGCTACACATGAACCTTATAGATGTCTTACATAGAAAGTATACATGAATCAACTTACTGGTTTTCAGCAGTTGTGAAAAACCAATGGTTTATTCGAATTTGCATTCATATAACTTTCGTCGAATGGTTTCAAACATTTTAGTGGTTTTGTAACATCTATAAACTTTTCAAACCTGTCTTACAAGTAAGCACTATTATCATTGTTTAAAAGAAAAGAATGCTGGATGACCTCAAGGTTCATAGCATGTTAGACTATAGCGCATGCGAAATAAAACAGAAGTACCCTAAAAATTTTGATGCCACCCAATTTGATCAACTTATATAACTGTTGGTTGAATATGTCCTCAATTAGGGAAAACTAGTTCTAGGTTCGATCATATCGAAGCTATTCGCTCAAATTCATTTTTATATAGGTTAAATATATTTAGAACCCCGCCTGGATTACTAGCTCGCTAGTTTTCTAGCCTCGCCTAGACTACTAGCTTGCTAATTTTCCAGCCGGTCCCGAGCCTGGATAAAGAGGGAGGGTTGGGGCGTCGTGCTAGCAACTCCACCCCCAAAACTCAACCAAACCGCTACATAAACTTCAATGCACAGATATATTAAAAATTCTAAAAATATAAACAGTAACCTTATTTTTCGCTGGAATTGGAGAAGTGAAATGACGCAGGCTGATGAAAGCCTTCGGGAAGCCAGTCAGCCGATGTGCTTTCTTTCACTCTTGAACCGACCACCACCTGCAACCCGTCCAGAAATACCAACAACAGCGCGCACACAACTGCAAGTTGACACCAATCCTCCAACGAGAGCTGAAGTCTTGAATGCAATCAAGCTCCTGAAAGCTGGAAAAGCAGCTGGACCAGATGGAATACTCCCTGAAGCACTAAAAGCGGACCCAGAGACTACAGCCGACATGCTGACTCCATTATTGCAAAAGGTCTGGAAGGAAGGAAGCGTGCCTACTGACTGGAGGAAAGGTTACCTCGTGGAACTACCAAAGAAGGGCGACTTACGCCTCACTCTGCAAGAACTGGCGAGGAATCATGCTCCTGTCGACGCCGAGTAAAATCCTGAGTCACATCATCCTGGAGAGAATAAAAGACGCACTGGATGCAGAACTCCGCCTTACTGAAACAAGCTGGATTCAGGAAAGGCAAATCATGTTCTGACCAAATTGCAACTCTACGCATCATCACAGAACAAAGCATGGAATGGCAATCAAACCTCTACCTCAACTTCATAAACTTTGAGAAGGGCTTCGACAGCGTTGACCGCGAAGTAATTTGGAAACTACTCGAGTACTACGGCGTACCCCAAATATTCACCAACCTTATTCAACAGCTGTACGACAACGGAACATGTCAAGTGATCCACAACGGAAAACTCAGCGAGGCGTTTGGAGTAAACACAGGAGTCAGACAAGGGTGCTGGGTTATTATCACCAATGATATTCCTAATTGCGGTGGACTGGATTATGCATCAGACAGTGGAAAAGGAGAAGACAGGGATATCCTGGACCGACGCGAAGAACTTAGAAGACCTGGGTTTCGCGCGTGGATGATTTATGTTTGATGTCACACAAAATCGAAGACTTACAAGCAAAAACTGACAAACTGGTCGAAGAAGCAGCCGGCGAAGATAGGACTCCAGGTGAACATACACAAGACGGAGGTTATGAAAATAACCACCCAAAAACAATAGCAGAAACATCCAGCGCCAATCACCATCAACGGGAGGGATTTGAAAGAGGTTACTTCATTCACTCACTTATCTAGGGAGCATTGTCTCAACTACAGACAGTTGGAAAGGACGAGAATGTCAAATCGAGAATCGGAAAGGCGAGAAACACATTCATCAACCTGAAACCAATCTGGAAATCTTCGTTACTCGGCAACAACAACAAAATTCAAATTTTCAATACGAACGTCAAGTCAGTCAGTTCTCCTATACGGATCAGAAACTTGGCGGGTGGTTCACAAAGAAAATTTCCAACAGCCTGCTGCAGACCTTCATCAACAACTGTCTTCGCTCTATACTGAGGATCAGATGACCGGGCCGGAAAGAATCACCAACAAGGAACTATGGGAACAAACAAAGCAAGAACCAATCGCCAACCAACAAATATGCAGGACAAAGAGGAGATGGATTGGACACTCGTTGAGGAGGCATCGCGCGTCAGGCCATCACTCAAGTGGAAGCCGAAAGGGAAGCGGCGTGTGGGACGTCCAAGGGTGATATGGAGGAGATCGTGTGAAGAAGGGTTGAAAGAGTATGGACTAACATGGATGCAGGTGAAAAATACAGCAAAATACAGAACCAAGTGGAGACGTGCAGTTGAAGCCCTATGTTCCACTAGGAACCCAAGGGAACAATAATAATAATAAATATATTTAGGGAAATTACTTATTCAATTTATCTTGTAAACAATTGTTTTTACATATAACCATTGAAAAATGTTTTCGAATGTTAAGTTCACGAAGAAACAAATAACAGAACTTTGTTCATCTCAAAACACTTATGTTTGCATAGACACAAATATATTCGAAGCTGGTATTGTTTGTAGCAGGGCTTTTAATGACACTGGAGTCACCATCATCAACAATACATACAATACAGAAACAATTATTCCTGTTTAAATTCTTCACCACAATACTTCTTAGTCAAAAAGTCTTAAACAGCAACACAAGGATGGGAAATCTGGAAAATCAGTAGACAAAATATGATAACGATATGATAGCGAATAAAAGAGAAACTATTTATTAAAGTCATATTTCAAATGCATCTCAGTAAATATGATAGATATTGAAATGTATTAGCTTTGTTTCTGAATTTTTGATTTGCAAAGCCTCAATAACTTTAGCTTTAAAGAATGACTTTAATATATATAAGCCATCTTATGGGTCAGTCAAAACCTCATATACTGAACGAAGTGTACATTACAAAAGCCTGAGACTATATGATCATGATTGTTTATGGTAAATTCAGACTACTAGTAACCCTAACTAAAAATTATGCATAAATATGGATAATCATAATTCACCTTATCAGAAAAATTTACCCATCAATGTAAATTGGTATTTGAACTTGGCATGAAGGAATATTATAAACGTAATAAAGAGATAGAAGCATTTTGTAATTGCATTGAAGAGGCGAAACTATTGAATGCTGAATCAAGTAAAGAGAAGATAAATGAATTTAAGAATTATCAGGACAAAGTAAGTTACTTGCTATAGACTTTAACCAATATCATTTAATGATTTTACATTTATGACAAAAGGCAGTAACAAGTTGCGCTAAACAAACCAGCTGTTAAAGAACCCACTTATTGGCATATAGTAGTATATCAATCAACTCAATTTGATGATCCGAGTTTATGATACTGTGCGTGTATGACTGACGCTGAAGGTGGGTCATTGAACAGTAACGCGTTTTTCATTAGGTCTGAAGTAATTATAACGGCTTTTGTGGAACATGAGTATTTAATACAGACTTTTCATAATCAAAATACTTTCAAATCTGAACTTTGTCTCCAACATCATTTTATCCAGCTTCTTACACTATCATAGACTTAGTGTCAATTTTATTTTCTTGATTTGTTGCACAATAAACTTTATGTAATCTTTTCTGCTGTTGAAACCCATTTTCAATTATTTATACTCTTATTTCCTATCAGTTATTTTCAAATGAATATATTTCATATAACTGATTAGTTTTCGACTTTCTCGATTAATTAAGATTATTCAATAATTTTCATGCATTGCTGTTTCTTATACAGCTTGATTTATCTTTTCTGCTAACTGATAATAACCTCTAACCTTTGTTATCAATCAACACTTTGCATATAAAAAACTAAATAATGTTGCATATTCACTGAGGCTGGCAATCTGATCTTCAGTATCTAGCGAAGCCAGCTGTTGATGAAAGTCACCGCAGCGCAGAGTCACTAGACCATATGGAAGTACTCACTTCACAATAGTGTTAAAAATTTTCCCGTGTGTTAAATGTTGTAAATCTGTTTCTACACTGACTTTATGAACTACTGTCTCCTATCCAATCCTGGTTTTGACATCTTTATCTGTGTCAAATGTAAATATGGCATGTACATAAGAAATTGTAATGATATCTAATAAGTAAGCTAAATATGTCAGCAATAATCTAAAATGGTCAGAAGACAATTTACTTCCCCAAATGTTAAATGAGAAATAATTGAAGTGCTGTTTCTAATGAGAACTATAGGATGTTACTGTAAATTAGCACTGGTTACAACTAGTTCAGCAGAATTTAGAAGATAAAATCCCGAAAGATAATTACAGCGCTACATTTAAGCACAGTAGAAGAATCATATTAGTCCCTTTGTTAAGCACATTTCATAGTGAAATAATATTATATACAAGATTCAGTATACGAATTAACAGGTTTCAAAATAATCTAGAGGGATAAACAGAAGAGTTGGTTTAATCGTCGCGCGCCAGGCGTTCGACTGGAACTTAAACGGGTAATGATGAGCTGGGCGCCCGACAGTGACATGAAGGAAATTATATCAGAAGGAGACGAGAGCTTATGGGCAATCATGCTGCCAGCTAAAGAGGACTGCTCACAAATCAACATCAGCTAAAAAGTTGCGAAAACTAACTTATGCTGAACAGCCGTCTCGTTCTCACTTGTGTCTCTAATAAAGTATGTTATGCATGACCTTATGCATCCCTAAACGCCTGAACACAGTTTAAACTACTTAGGATTTTTTTAACGGATTTACTGTTTTCAATAAATTTTACTACTTACCTTCGAACCTTGCCGACATCTTCGGTAATGAGAAGTTGCTAAATCAGGCTTGTTTGTTGAAATGTGTTTTAAAACATATTTTTCTAAGCCTACTTTTACTTCACAAAATATAATTTAAATAAAATTGATTTCAACAGGTATTCAAGGATTTACTAGAAACTGCTGATGCTGTCAAAGCTGAAGATGACATTTTAGATTACAATGAAAATGTTCAAAAATTATGGAGTCAACTAATGAGGAATGAATCAATTTTAGTTGAACAAATTGATGAATTAATTAATGAATTTGAATTAAACCTTAATGACATGATAAATACATTTATTGAAAATGTTGAAGTAAGTAATACTGATGTATGTATACACTATATATATATATATATATATATATATATATATATCATCTAAATACAGATAAATTTATTGAACCCGACAGTATGACTTCAGACACGTCTGAGGATGGTGATTCCTTATAATTGATTAAATTAACTAAGATATTAGTTAATGTGTCGAAATATGGGATATCCTCACTGAAATGAAGCGAATAATATCTAACTCATGAAAATCATAATCTGTAAGAACGGAGACATATCCTCCGATGAAAATCACAGAAGAATCAGCCTCACTAATATAATATCTAAGACTGTAAGGTTGCATAGTACTGCGATGACTACATGGCGCTCGGGAAAACAAACAGGCACCCTGTAGGACGAGAGTGTATCGACTAAATATTTACCCTTCGACAAATTCTGGAACACAAACATACTTAAAGCCATCCTACGTTTGCCAAATTTCATGACCTGTAGGGGGAATAGGGTCATGTTGGCAGAGAAGAACTGTGGTATTGTGTGGTCGTGGGCGGAGTCCTGAGAAAATATCCCACTTATCAAGGAAATTTAATTCAACTCGAGCAGCCACGTAAGACGTTGCGGAGAGTTGTCATCATCTTTATTTAATATCATAGACTCACGAATGGATGTGACCGTTACCGACTTCCCAAATGACATGTTACCAGAGAAGAGTCTTGATGATTTAAACTGTGCAGATAACATAGACTCTGACAAAATCCAGTCACTTAAACAGCTTGACCAGTCACATAGCCTTCTGAACACTTGAAGTAGAAATGTCAGTATGTGTAACATGGATTCTTCCCTGTTAGTCTTAAGATGGTTCTGTAGGACTGGTATCCACTGACTCCTGGTCCAAAGATAGCGAATGAAACTGCTGAGCATGGTGACCTCTTCGTTAATTTGAGAAGTTGCATCAGACTAATCGACTGATTGCTGATAAGATGTCAGCTTGGAAACAAAAGCCTTGTCTTGTATTTGCCCATTTGCGTCAACTTAGACGCAGATGTAATATCCGGCTATTGGTTAAAGTACACGTGTATGGTGTAGCAATTCTTTCAGTCCGTCTTTATGACATTGAGTCATTATCGTTAAAATTGGAGGATATAAAAAAATTAATCATCTCTGACAATACGTATTTCTGTTTCACCTCGCGTGTTGTGTGTCACATATCATCAGTATTAAAACGGCTAAGTTTACAGTGTTAGGTGAGGATGGCAAGTGAGTCGATGAAGTTCTGAAGCTGCATCGATTGAAATGGTTGGGACACGTGTTACGCATAACAAACCATCGCCTTCCTGGTCGAGAAATGTTAGGTGATATAAAATTAGAATGTAAGAGTTAGAATTGATGAAATCAAAACATTTTTTAATTTTTTTTACTGTTGTTTTGAGCCATGTGGAATGGTGTAGGCTGCCTGTATGAGATACTCAAGACACTAGGAATTAATGTCTTAAGACTGTTGACGATACGTCTTAAGAACGTTCTCAACGTTCCCAAATCTAGTATATCCTCATTGTTCCCTATGAGACTATTCTTACTCCCGTGTATTTTCGTCTGTTATAATTTCCTTACATTTATAAAGTGCGGTAGCTTGAACTACTGCGCCTTTGTGTAAAGTTCTACTTTGAAAATTCAGACTTATGGACATGTCACTAAATGATTAGTGGCACTTTTTTGAAAGTAACATAACTGATCAACAGCTGTCAGTTGATTTAGTGCTTGGGAACTTATTAACGGTGCAAACTTATAAATTCAATCCCGAAATTCCTTTTCTTGAAATGTTCCCAGTCATAAAAGTAAAATAAACAAAGTAGAGTGCTGACTGTGAGTTAGGATAAATTTTAAACATATAAATAAGGTCACAATAAAGTTTCATTACCAAATGAATCATTTATTCATTACTGGTATTTGTTGGTGACCAAATTCACTTTGATTTCATTCTAAATGTTATTTCGAATATCATTGTGAAATACCTGGCTTTACTTACTTCCGCCGTTGCTAGCGATAAAAAAACAAAGAAAAACTGTCAAAAAATCACTGATTTTTGATTAAACCACATGGAAAAGTGTAACTCTCTCAGTAACATCACATTATAAGCCATTGATTAAGAACGTTTCATTTAAATACCTATTTACAATTATTAATTCACCTTTATAGGGACATTTTACAGAATGTCGAGAGTTACAGTCTCAGTATCATGAAAGATTAACGGATATATGCCCAAGTATTCTTGAACGATTTATGCGTAATGATTTCCAAACAGAACCTTCAGATGCATTGATTGCGGTAAGTTGATGAATAAATAAAATCTAAGATAATCGCAAATTGAAAAACCATTTATTACGTTGCTAAAAATATATGAATTGAAATATTAGCAAACTACAATATCTAAGATAAAATATTATTTTAAGTGGTTTACGAAACACATAATTTAAGTGAAAATATTTTTGACCTATCTAATGCAATGAATGGCATCGGCGTGGATAGGTGATTTTATATTTGGTCTTATGAGCTAACAGTATACATTATAGAAACAAGTGGACTTCTAGAAAGATCTAATAGATCGGAGATGTAAATGACTATCTGACAAAATTTTCAAACAACAGTTTCTCCTACTATTTTCTAATAACAATAGGAGTCAAGAAAAAAGATGACAAATATTTGATAAATAAATTCTATCCAGGGAAGACTTACTATGAGTTTTCAAGTAAATCAAAGTATTGTTGGGAAACGACCTATAATAATGAAATACAGAAACACGCATTACCAATATAAGAGATGGCATTACTAGTCGTGGAGAAAGTTGCTACATCTCTGATTTGTGCAACAAGTAAGTAGGAGAAAATTAGACAAGAAATAATGACATGCAAATGAATTGCTTTGAACCATCTTGTTAATAATACGAGAGAAAAATCTTCCGAAACAATCGTGACTTTTACAAGTACATAAATACAGTAATGTTTAAATAAACTAACGATAAACCTATGTCACAACCTCACATATTTTGCTAGTCGATGCTAGGCATGTGAAAGAGGAAAAATGATGCATAAAGTTAGCAAACGCACCCCATACAAAGCAAACCTTATCGCTACTTAAACTTCAAAGTATGGCAAAAATGAATTAGTCATCGCTGGAATCGAGGAGATTCTTCAGTTGCAGGACACATGACGCCGGTTAGCAAGGTCTCAGGAAGACAGCCAATCAACTATTTTTCCTTCGAGGAACCAAAAGTAAGAATTAGGTTGTTGTTATTATTCCCTTAGCTTTCGAGTGAGGAAAAGGGCTTCAACAGCATTTCATCCTATTCTCGGCAATCCCCTTTCCCTGGATCCACAGTAGTCCATGAGCACGAATCTCCTTCTCACAGGAACTCCTTCACGTCATTGTCAGACAGTCAACTCGCAATTTGGCATTGGGGTTTCACTGGATAACCTGGAGAGTGATGTCACTCAATGATTTCCCCAGCCTGTGTCCGATTCACCTTCTTTTTCTTCCGCATATTTTTTAGACAACAGATTAGTGATAGCTTTGTTGCCAGTTATTTGTCGCTAGCACTTCCCAACTGGTCATCTGATCTTCAATATGGAGGGAAGGCGACCGCTGATAAAAGTCTAAAGCCTGTAAGAAATGATTTTTTGACACGCCAGGTCGATTGAGGGAGAGATTTGATTGTCACTCTATGCTTTGTTCGATGATAATGCGTAGCATTACGAATTGGCCCGAAAATGACTTGCTTATCCTGAATCCGCGTAGAGTACTGAATCCACATCTTCAAGTCTCTGGAGGATTAAGCGACTTAATATTTCGTCTGGTGTGGTCAAGAAAGTGTTCCTCCGTCAATTTGTAAAAAGCATAAATGGGCCATTTATGGTAAGTCGACAAGGTTGTCTTTCCTTCAACAAATAAGTACGTTTTCCTCCCTCCAAACTTTCTGAAAAAGTGACGTTAGGATATCCGCTGAGGCCTTTGGACGTCCTCAGCTCCTCCGGAGGAATTCCATCTAATCCTGCTGCATACACGTCTGTCAGAAAATTCATTCCAGTCTTCAACTCCACTTGATACTGATGGATTCTTGTACTAGATAGTGGTCCCAGCCCACATCTACTCCCCTCCTCGCCATTGTACCCCACTTTCTTGAGATTGAGAAGTTTGCCTGATTTTTGTTGTCTGTCAGGTGAAATCCAATTCGCCTTGTGTTTTTCCTAATGCTTATACACACTAACTCCGATCATCCAATCACTGGATGCACATAAATTTGTGAAGAGTTCTCCGTTCTCATTCATTAACCCTACAGCCTACCAACATATGATGAATTCTCTTCCTGTATTGTCTGCTCCCGTGTTTGCATTCAAACCGCCCATAAGGATTTTGATGTCACCATTCGGGATGTTATCAATTACTGTTTACAGTTGTCTATAGAAATCTTCCTTCTCTTGGTGTAAGTTATTTGTAGGAGCGCAGCATCCATAGGAAGTTGGCAGTCCGTCACTGCCAACTCCTCCGCTATACATAGATGAAAGATTCTCATTCTTCTTGACATTACCAAGGAATGGGAGAAAATCACTCATTTATGAATTTATAAACAATATACTGGCTTCCTCATTGGAACATTAGTGAAGTGGTGAAGAATTTGCAGTCTGAGAAAACGTGTTAATGATACAATATATCAAGGGTTTAAGTAAAGCCTCCTAGTAATTCCATATTAGTTTGTTTATTAAATGTATCACACAGTGAAACAGCATTGTATACTGGATGACGTTTCGAACACAATTTATTGTTCATAATCATATCAATTTTTGTCACACGACTTCGAGATTTGATTTTTATAGTCTTCTCCTATTTGTCGTATGGGCAGTAGAATTTTCCATATATCTGGGACAGGTGTTGAATCATTCCTATTACATGTATTTGCAGTTGATTCGATAAACAAAGCTTCTGTTATCAATCTCTCCATATACCCTGTGACATCAGATCTTAAAACTGTCATCCTATCCCATCCTATTGTATGGTTGTGTGTAACTGCATGTAGTGCTATAGCTGAACAGCTCTCTAGATTTCTTATCTTATTCGGGTCAACCAGTCTAGATTTAGCTAGGTTTTTATGTTCGGCTAGTCTGACTGCCCCTGTTCTACTAGTTTGACCTATGTATTTGACCTCACAATCATTGCAGGGTATTAGATAAACTAAATTGTTTTGTTTTAATGACTCTACAGGATCCTTTAACCGACAAAGCTTGTTTCTAATTGAGTTTGTGGGTTTGAATGCCACTTTTATTCCTGCCTTGTTAAGAATTCTGCGTAAGGCTTCCGAGGTTCCTTCTTTGTATGGAATTACTGTTGATGATTTACATTCCTTATTCTTGGTGTCTTTATTAATATTATTATTATCACTATTATTATTACCATTATTATTATTATTGTTATCATTATTATTATTATCACTATCGCTATTATCATTATTTATTTTATTTTTACATTTACTTACATATTTCTTGACTAATTTATCCGGGTAATTATTACGTTTCAAGGCTTCTTTTATGTGTATCACTTCCTGTCTTAGATTTTCCTTGGTACTACTTAGTTTTGTGCTCTGTCATTTAAACATTTCACTAACCCTATTTTTACTGACATAGGATGGGATGATCGGAAATCCAAATATCTGTTTGAATGTGTGGGTTTTCTGTAAACACTAGTGTTCAGCTTCCCATCTTCTTTCCTTTTTACGTTGCAATCTAACATTGGAAGTCCCCCTTCCTGACTTTCCAATTCATAAGTGAATTGAATTGCCTCTACCTTCGAGTTGATGTGCTCGAAAAATCTATCTATATCTTGTGTTCTAAGTACAGTGAATGTGTCATCTACATGCCTCCACCATACTTTCTTTTCCCACCTATCCATGAATATATCTGCTACAACCGGGGATATTGGTGATCCTATGGCAACTCCCTCAGTTTGTTTGTATATTTTGCCTTGGAATTTAAATACTGTAGAAGTCAGGCAAAGCTGCACTCCCAGCATTATATCCTCAAGTGGCACGCCGAATGAAGCCGTTCCTAGGTGAGCCTAAGTGGTTTAATTTAGTGCCAAAAACTAATAACCCCAGTAGGATGTATGGTGTTGTTAAAATTCATAAGTCAGGATACCCTATTAGGCCTATAGTGGATTTTAGAAATTCACCTACCTATGAATTATCTAAATATTTAGCCATGGTATTAAATCCCCTAAAAATCCACTCGAAATCTAGACTAACTAATTCTTATGAACTAAGACACAGATTAGATAATTTAAAATTAGATAATGAAGAAAAAATCGTTAGTTTTGACATTGTCAGTTTATATACACGTATACCAATAAATATGGCTATAGAGGCGGTCAGAAACGAACTCATTTCTGACCAAGAACTCGAACTTAGGACAAAAGTGTCACTTGAAGACATAATGCTGGGAGTGCAGCTTTGCCTGACTTCTACAGTATTTAAATTCCAAGGCAAAATATACAAACAAACTGAGGGAGTTGCCATAGGATCACCAATATCCCCGGTTGTAGCAGATATATTCATGGATAGGTGGGAAAAGAAAGTATGGTGGAGGCATGTAGATGACACATTCACTGTACTTAGAACACAAGATATAGGTAGATTTTTCGAGCACATCAACTCGAAGGTAGAGGCAATTCAATTCACTTATGAATTGGAAAGTCAGGAAGGGGGACTTCCAATGTTAGATTGCAACGTAAAAAGGAAAGAAGATGGGAAGCTGAACACTAGTGTTTACAGAAAACCCACACATTCAAACAGATATTTGGATTTCCGATCATCCCATCCTATGTCAGTAAAAATAGGGTTAGTGAAATGTTTAAATGACAGAGCACAAAACTAAGTAGTACCAAGGAAAATCTAAGACAGGAAGTGATACACATAAAAGAAGCCTTGAAACGTAATAATTACCCGGATAAATTAGTCAAGAAATATGTAAGTAAATGTAAAAATAAAATAAATAATGATAATAGCGATAGTGATAATAATAATAATGATAACAATAATAATAATAATGGTAATAATAATAGTGATAATAATAATATTAATAAAGACACCAAGAATAAGGAATGTAAATCATCAACAGTAATTCCATACAAAGAAGGAACCTCGGAAGCCTTACGCAGAATTCTTAACAAGGCAGGAATAAAAGTGGCATTCAAACCCACAAACTCAATTAGAAACAAGCTTTGTCGGTTAAAGGATCCTGTAGAGTCATTAAAACAAAACAATTTAGTTTATCTAATACCCTGCAATGATTGTGAGGTCAAATACATAGGTCAAACTAGTAGAACAGGGGCAGTCAGACTAGCCGAACATAAAAACCTAGCTAAATCTAGACTGGTTGACCCGAATAAGATAAGAAATCTAGAGAGTAGTTCAGCTATCCGAGACTCAAATCAACACCAGCGAAAAGGTCAGCGTCGAAAAGCACTGGAACAACTTGAAATCGGTGTGGAGTCAAACCTGCATGGAAGTTCTAGGCAGAAAGAAGAGACAGGACAAACAGTGGCTCACTATGGCACTTGGAAACTAATAGAAGAGAGAAGGACAGTGAAACAAAAGATTATCCAGTGCACGGACGAGCAACAAAAACAGGAGCTGAATGCAAGCTACAATACACTGAAAAAAAGAGTGAAGAAAAGTGCCAGGGAAGACAAAAGAAAATATTATGAAACCATGGCAAACGAAGCAGAACAAGCTGCAGGCAAAGGAGACCTCGCCACACTCTACCAAACAACTAGGCACCTTTCGGGCAAAAGTTCGACACAAATTAAGCCAGTAAAGGACGACAATGGAAAGTCAATCACCAAAGAGGTGGAACAGAGAAAACACTGGGCTGAACACTTCAAAAGACTTCTAGACCGACCGCCACCTACAACGCTCCCAATAATACCAACAGCGGAAGCAGAACTACCAGTGGACATCAACCCTCCGACGAAATCAGAAGTCCTGAATGCAATCAAGATGCTAAAAGCTGGGAAAGCACCAGGACCAGATGGAATCCAAGCAGAAGCTTTGAAAAGAGACCCAGAGGTAACAGCGGACTTGATGACGCCACTGCTGGAGAAGTTGTGGAAAGAGGGCAATGTACTCGAGGATTGGAAGAACGGATACTTATTCAAACTACCAAAGAAAGGAGACTTAAGTCAATGTAAAAACGCGTGGAATTATGCTTCTGTCCATTCCAAGCAAGATACTAAGTCGCATCATCCTGGAGAGAATCAAACAAGCCCTAGATGAAAAACTTCGACCGGGACAGGCCGGATTCAGGAGAAACAAATCATGTATTGATCAAATCGCCACTCTACGGATCATCACTGAACAAAGCTTGGAATGGCAGTCACCTCTCTATCTCAACTTCATCCACTTTGAAAAGGCCTTCGACAGCGTCGATCAGGAGGTCATTTGGCAACTACTTCGCTACTACGGGGTCCCATCGACAATTATACATCTCATCCAACAGTTAGTTGTACGACAATGCTGCATGCCAAGTAATCCAAAACGGGAAACTTACGGAAGCCTTTGAAGTGAGGACGGGAGTGAGGCAAAACTGTCTACTATCACCAATGATCTTCCTGATTGCAGTAGACTGGATAATGCGACAGACAACGGCAACCAACGAGGGAACGGGCATAAAATGAACTCACACAAAAGACTTGGGAGATCTGGACTTCGCCGATGATATATGTCTGATTTCCCACAAACTGGAAGATATGCAAGTGAAAAGCAACAAGTTGGAAGAAGAAGCATCAAAGATAGGTCTTTAAGTGAACATAGATAAAACAGAGATAATGAAGATTCCTAGCCAACATCAACAGCAAAAACAACAACAACAACAGACAACAATCAGCATAAATGAGAAGAACCTGAAAGAAACAGCCTCCTTCACCTACCTGGGAAGCATCGTTTCAACTACAGGCGGAACTGATGAGGATATCGAAGCCAGAATCAGAAAAGCAAGACAAGCTTTCATTACTCTCAAATCTGTGTGGAGGTCAACATCACTCAGAATCAAAAATAAGATCCGGATTTTCAACTCCAATGTAAAATCAGTGCAACTATACGGATCAGAGACTTGGCGAGTCATAAGGAGCATCTCAAACAAACTTCAGACCTTCATTAACAGTCACCTTCGCTCAATACTCAAGATCAGATGACCAGAAAAGATCAACAACAAAGATCTCTGGGAGCGAACCAATCAGGAACCGATTGTGAAACAAATAGGCAGGAAGAAATGGAGATAGATTGGCCATACTCTGAGGAAACCAGCAAGTGACATCACTAGACAAGCCATTGCTCGAGTGGAACCCGAAGGGGAAACGGCGAGTTGGTCGTCCAAGGGTGACTTGGAGGAGGTCATGCGAGGAGGAGATGAAAGCATGTGGACAGACTTGGAGCGGAGTGAAAAAGTTAGCAGAAAACCGAAGGCAATGGAGGTGCGCAGCTGAAGCCCTATGTTCCTCTAGGAACCAAAGGATACAATAATAATAATAGTTCAGCTATAGCACTACATGCAGTTACACACAACCATACAATAGGATGGGATAGGATGACAGTTTTAAGATCTAATGTCACAGGGTATATGGAGAGATTGATAACAGAAGCTTTGTTTATCGAATCAACTGCAAATACATGTAATAGGAATGATTCAACACCTGTCCCAGATATATGGAAAATTCTACTGCCCATACGACAAATAGGAGAAGACAGAGAAGACTATAAAAATCAAATCTCGAAGTCGTGTGACAAAAATTGATATGATTATGAACAATAAATTGTGTTCGAAACGTCATCCAGTATACAATGCTGTTTCACTGTGTGATACATTTAATAAACAAACTAATATGGAATTACTTACTACCACAGTACCCAAGTTTTATTTATATAAATTCCCCTAGGGTATTACTCCAAAATGGTCACTATCCAAATTATTTGTTGAGAATATGAAGTAGAAACAATACAATGGTATAACTGAAAACCAAATATTTCCTGGCCTGATTGACCGTCTTTTTTATATGGAAATTGAAAATCTTGAATTTTTGAAAGTATCTATTTGTCAAATACCTGATTCAAGAGAGAAACTCTTCTATTAAAGTGCTTAAGAGGCGTATTATAACAATAAAAGAGAAGATTTGATATCTCTGTTAATCAATACTAGCAAAACCATGAGTTAAGCATCCTGTTAACAAGTTTATTCTCTATTACTTCAAGTGTAATGTATATTCATTTTTTTGGTGTTTTAGATTTTTATTGATAAAGAAAGTGTGACAAATGCGCTGACTGCTAGTAATGACGCTCATTTGCTTAAAATTGATGAATTCGCCGATAGTATTGGTGATAAGGCGAGAAAATGGGTGAAAGAAACAATAAATTCAATATACTCTGACGAAAAATATAACCGTAATAGAGCTCGAGTGATGGAGATTAACCATTATATAGACACACTGAGAAATGATGTAGAAAATCTAGACATACCTGCATTTGGTGAATCATAAATGTATTATATTTTATAATGCTGCTTATTAAATATACATACACACAAATGAACAGACTTTTGAATATTATACCCCGAATACGTCAAGTTCATCGTAAGTTTGAAGTAATACTAACTGATTACGTTGCTACCAAGGGAACATTGTGGTGGTGTGCTGCAGACAACGTGTTCCAAAGGAATATTATTTCAAATATTCCCACATTTCAATTCGGCATTAGCAACAGAATACAATATATCTATTTGAACAGTTCAATACTGCGTTAGTAACATTATACGATGTATCTGAACATTCATGTCGTTTAATATAAGCCAAAATCACATGCCCAGTGATTAGTTAGAGAATATAAAACTATATATATATATATATATATATATATATATATATATATATATATATATATATATATACAGCGGTTTGATCACTTCAAATCATTATACATTGGCTTTCGTGTCTTGCTTTTTCTTGTTACAACATTACTGCAACAGACTGTAGTTATTAAATTCCCTTCACAAGTAATTCAGTCTTTTATTGTTAAATATATTATTATTAAATACAGCCGTTATTATTAATGAAATCCAGGACAGAAGTCTTGTTCGGTTTAAAGCATATTTGGTACCTACTTTTTGATTTTAATTTCCTTGTGTCCGTGTTGAAACTCGCAATAAGTATTTCTAAATTCACTCTGCAACGAATCCCTACTACGCCTTGACAAAGGGTGAACCGTAGTAGGAATTATCTTGATTATAACCTCAGTGCTCAGTCCCAGTTGGCTTTTAGGCTTTATGACTAATATGAACAAATGCATGCCTGCAAAAGCTTCCTGACATAATGACAGTTAGTGCAACATTAACAACTAATACTCATTTTATGCAACGTCGCCAAGCATCTAGTACTGGAACTGTTTTCCAATGTTCGAATAAAAATTGCAGGTTCTGTGTGCAATAATGACTCCGAATAAGGACTCATTCACTATTTAAAAACTGCTACGTGAGTCAAATCGAGTTCTTTCGTTTTCTCGGTTTTTGGGCGAATCATTTAGATGAAGTCCATTTATTACGCATTAGTGAAACAATTCAAGATATGCCTGGAAAGTATTCTCTAGCATGTTAAATACAATACTGATTCTATGACTTCATATTCAAAGTTTTGAGGAAACCAATTGGATTGTTTACTGGTGTTGCTTACGGTCGGATCATACATACTAACACTTCAGACAACTATAGAAGTTATACGCATTGAATTATTGCATGTTTCTACCTGAAACACAAAAATTAGGCAACGATGCAACGACTACAGTCTGCACGAATATAACAGAGTATTTTCACCACGATAAAGAGACAAAGTGAAGAAATAATCACTATTAGTTGTCCAACTTCGCATAATATAGATCAGCAGAACTATCTGTGTCTTTGCATTGAAATCATTTGTTCTTAAAAACCCATGTGTCCTTGAAAGTAGCTTTACAGGAACATCTGTTAAATACCTAAATCTTAGACAAATTATTGACGAACAGACGGAAGACAAATACAATTCCACTATGGATAAAGTTTATTTTGATTAGGTCATACAGTGATATTTACTTATAACTTTCCAACCACAATTTATTGCCCAAAATCATGTGAATATACTCACACAACTTCCATGCTTCGTTAAACAAAATATTGTAATTTACAAAATACCTTGCAATGACTGTGGGTCAAGTCAACTGCATATAGGTCAAACTGGTAGATGGGAAATAATCAGATTATCAGAACATAAGAATTTAACTAAGGTAAGAATGACTGACCCGGGGAAGATAAGTAATTTGGAAAAGACTCAGCGTTCGCACTGCATGCATTAGCATACAACCAAACAATGGGGTGGGACAGAGTCAAAATTGTAAAAAGTAATATAGGTAGGTGGGGAAATTGATTACTGCATGCAATAGAAGTGACCCAACGCAAATACCAGAGATATGGAAGATATTACCACTAGTCGAATTACGAGACAATAAATAATGTTGAAATTTATTTCAGTTCACATTAGAACACTGTTTCACGCATGTCTTATATTGATTTTATTCATATATCTAATCAATTTTTACTCATGTATATAAACGAAGCAAGAAAATTATGCGAGTACTTTGATATGATTATGAGCGATAAATTGGGCTCGAAACGTCGTCAGTAAATATTACTATACAACACTGTGTAACTTAATCAAAATAAATTTTATCTATAATAGAATTATACTCTGTTACAGTGTCCATGTTTTATACTAATGAACACAATCGACAAGGTTGTGAAATTACATCGACTGAGAAGGTTAGGACATGTGTTACGTATGCCTAGTCATCGCCTTCCTCGACGAGTAATGTTAGCTGATATAGGGTCAGGCTGGAAAAGAGCTAGCGGCGGTTAAACCAAAACATGGCACCAGTCAATGAAATCTACAACACCTAGTCTCAGCCACGTAAGAAGGTGTAGACTTCCTGACTGGTTGGGGTCCTCGGGACGGTAAAAACCAATGGTTGGAAACAATTGATGACATGGCTCAAAATCGTTCTCAATGGCGCAGATGCATCCACTCCTTGTGACTTATAATTTCCAATGAAACTATTTTGTTCTTCGTTACTACTATTTCCTTTGTCTCACACCTCTGTTTACTGTCTCTATTATGCATTTCTTCTACTTTCTTCTGTTGCTTTGTGTGCTACATGGAAATTTTTTATATTTTATATATATATTTTTTTTGATTTACAGCTTGATTCCACACTGTATTTTTGGTACAAGTATGGAATTTTCAGCATGGATATCGGTAGCCCAAATTTTGCAGGCCGACCATAGATATCAGGTGTGCGTCGGCGGGGGTTCGAACCTCGGACCATGTGCATGGTCGGCGAAAGTCCTAACCACTGTGCCACCGGTGGAGACTTGAACTGCTGCACATATGTGTAAAGTTCTGTGTCGAAAACAGACAGACTCATGAACACAAATATATTATTTAATGCAAACTAATGCTTGACTCCCGTAGTTGAAAGGCACCCATACCAACAGCAGAACTTGTTAGGTAGATTTAAGTCATTTCAACAATGAACATTGGTTTCAACTTAAACAACATTCATAACGCTGAGATGACATATTGTGGTTTAATGGCTTTGTTTCCAGAGAAAAAGGCCGAAGTTTCAGCCAGCCTGAGCAAAAATACGATGTGAAGCTTCAAAGAACGCAGCCACATATCAAAAGGCAAGAACAGTAATTCCATTACGGATAAAATTTATTTTGATAAAGTCTCACAGTATTATACCGTAATATTTACTGATGACGTTTTGAGCACAATTTATACCTCATAATTTCAAGAACACCAAGTCTGAGGACATTTAAGTCTTCCAGCTAAAAACCAGTACTTATGAACAACGAATAATACAGTGCTACAAGGGATAAATATTCAACTCGAACCAAATGCCGCTGTTTCCCCATCTTTTTGTTAAAAATTAAGAGTAAATCAATCATGAGGAGCTGTGATCCATCTTTAGAGTTTGTCACACAAACGGTTGACAATCCATAAATACGGCACAAATCATTACAACGACAAACAGGTGTGCTTTTCCTCAATTTAAAACTTCTGCAAGTTTACTGAATTAGGTAACACACTTTCCTGTGATATCCACAGTGTTTCGGTCGCTCAAGCCTTTAAAATTATACGTTCACATAGTAGGTATTATCCGTATCGAAACCAAGAAGGACTTGTTACCAGAAGAAAGTCAGGTCAATAAAGTGTACAGGCGATACAGACAATAAACGGAAACCAGACACTTAAACAGCTGAACATAGGATTGTTAGGTCCTGTAGGACTGGTATCCATTGGCTGTTAATTTGAGACATGCGGAGTGGTGTAGACTGTCTGGCCCAAATCGTCGACACGCCAATGGTGTGAAACTGTTGATGATATAGCCCAAATTCGTTCTTAGTAGTGCAGACACATTCTGCCAAATCTAGTAAATCCCATCTATTCTACATGATATTCTTATTCCCATGCTTTCCCATCTATTGTAGTCCCTTCGCACTTTTCTCAACAATTCTGGGTACATTTAAGAAGTGCGACGACCTGATCTGCTGTGCATTTGTACGACGTTCTTCAATGTAAATCCAGTATGGTGCAGATGCTATGCTTGAATTCCTGCAAGAAGCCAATCAGATCATAACTCAAACATTTTCCTCTAAAAATAAGACGGTTACTTAAGATTCAACACCACATGATCTGTTACTCAATATCAACAGATATCAAGATAATAAGTAAACTTCATGCATTAATTCCCTTTGATGAATTTGAATAAAGCAAGAACAACAGTGGTTTGTGCAGAATAATGTGGTAACATTATTTATTTCGTTGGCTTCTCATCAGCTGCTTACAGCTTGCAAATTTTACATGTCAGTTGACAGAAAGTTCCACAATTAGTAAACAGTGCTCAGAAAATTGCGCTTATATAGTTTTTACACAGGCAGTTCAAGTTTAAACAGAATAAATGTATGCATACAATGGTAAAGGAGTTACGTAACAAATTTGTCAAGCGAAAATACAATTAGTGAGTTCAGATGAATTGGATGTTGGTAAGAGGATAGTAACAAAAGTGATGAGTTGTCATAAATGATTGTTAAATAAGAGTTACGTAATGGCATGAATAGTTTGATGAATGAGTTGTGCTCAAAGGGTGTACATGGAAACAAAATAATATACAGAATTACACAAGGGTTTTAAGTTAGAAAAATAAGCATACAAACAGAAGTAAGGTCAAATCAAACAAACAAAGAAAAGTTAGGTCAAATCAAAGGAGTAGTTACCATGCGAGTAGAAGTGGTTGGATAATTTTCTTTTGTATGCATAGTTCTGGTTCCTCCAACTGGATGGCTAGGGCTTCTGCGATGCAAAGAAGACGGAATCGTACTGTCTTTGGAAGGTTGTTCTTCACTTTGTAGATTACTTTGAAGGAGGCGTTCGTTGAGATGGAATGACCAGTATTG